AACGGCATCCAGCAGCAGACCATGAGGCGGGGGGAGCTGGAAGTCCCTCCCCGGAAAAAGCATGGAGAGGATTTCGGAACCAGAAGCAGCTCCAGCGCGTAACGGATGGTCCTCCTCTCCTCCTGCCGGCTCTGGATCGGGGCTGTTATCTCTACATCTATGTTCTACAGAGGAGACTAACGGAGGACAGAGCAGCAGCTTGATCAGGGTAGGTGAGGCTGTTTATCAGAGAGGGAAGTGGAGGAGATCTGCTGCAAAACAACACATGATGAAGATGCGCGACGCTTCTTCATGCATCTATTTATACCGATGCTGCCTTAACAGTCTGTTTTTCAGGCGTTATAACTGAAAAATAGTGCATTAATAATTTATTATTAAAAAGAAAAGAGCCGGATGGGCTCTGATTGTTGCAGCCTCTTCGCTCCGCCTCCAACTCCTCTATGCTTTTGAAAACTTGGGCGTATGTGGGTAGGGGTGTGTTTTTTAGTGCTTCTGTTTGCTTTTTGGCTTTTAAAATAAAGAGGATGTTGATGGTGAATCACTAGGAAGCTGGTTGGGTTCCTTTTTATGGGAGCAACACATATGAAATAAAGAGGAAGCAGATCAACTTTACTAGTTTTAAGTTGTTTTTTTTATAATACAAAAAAATAATACGCAGTTTGGCTTTAGCTAGAAATATTTATAAATATTCTTCTTTTATCAAAAAGCTTTAATTTAAGTCACACCTGCAATGTGATGAATGGACCACCAGGGGGCAGCTGACTTAAGCAGATAATAATTGAACTTTTGGACAGCAGTTCCTTAGATTGATATAAACAAATCCCCCCAAAAGAAACTCATGTTTATTCTTTTGTGTCTGTTGACCCATTTATCAGCTTTTGCACATCACACCAACAATGTCTGAATCCCAATTTGCAAACTTTAAGTAGTTTAAGTTTCTTGCCTGTACAAAAGTGATTCCAACAAATCAGTTTACTGCATTGGTTACTATAAAACACTTGGAAAACATCTTTTAAAGTTGTACTTAAAAATATTATGTTTGTACGTGTGTGTGTGTTGCACAAAATCAAAGAAATTTTTTGGTGCATTTTACCTATAAATAAAGAACTTTGAAGTAAAGTGATGACCTTTTACTAGTCTTCACTTTTTAGGCTTAGGTTTAAGACTAAGATGGGATTTAGCTTTAGGTTAGGGGGAGGTATGTTCCAGTAAGGGTTAGGTTTAAGGTATGTTTCAAGGTTAGACTGTAGAAAGAGTGTAAACTGAATGGAAGTCTATCTAAGACCCTCAGGACGGATGAATGTGTAAACAGTTAAAGCAGTGTGGGTGGTGTCTTGTTTTAACACATTGAGCCTGTTGTGTGTAAGTATGACAGTCCTGTTACCATCACAGGGTAACCTCTCCTTGTGTTTAATGCTTGTCATCTTTCCGTTCTGAGGCAGTGAAATGACTGGTTTAACCAAACTAATAAGAGCAACATAAAGTTTTAAAACCACATTTCACATTTTGTCATATCTATAAAGCAAGACCTTGTTATGGATTATAATAATATGACAACACAGAGTTTTTGGGGGTAGCTCTCTATTATGTTTGCACATCCTCTTTCCATTTTCTCGGTCAGATTAAACATATAAAATAGTAACATTTGTTTAGGAGTGTTGTCCTGCTGGAACGTGAACTACCCTCAGTGTCAAGACATTGCAGCCTCTAACAGGTATAATGTAAGTTTATACCCTGTTTTTGCCCCATCCATTAATTCTTCCATTTAACTATGATAAGCTTCCTTGTCCATTTGAAGAAATGCATCCCCATAAAAATCATCTACTATGTGTCACTTGGGGGATGGTGTGTCAAAGATGACGAAAAGTTTTAGTGTTTGACGCGTTTTTTTTGCATGTGGCTTAAAAGTCAGATTTGGACCATTCATTAGAGCTTTTATGGAATATTGACAGGAAGAAAGCCATGGTTAAAAGAAACGACGTAAAAGACAAGGCTTTAGTCTATGTTGAAACCACTATGGGGCTTATCTTAAAAAAATATGAATAAGCACTAAAATACGTGGGGGGAAAAATAATAAATGGGTGTGTTGTGGGTGATTTATACAGATTTATAAAGAGAGCACAAAGACGTGCAAACAGGTTCTGTTCACTCTTTAAAATGAGCACATGTTGTGTGTTACTGGCAGTTTGAGAATGTCTGTAAAAGAAAGATGACTTTGTAAGCGATGAAGTTTAATAATACCAAGAAGGGATGTTCCGATCCAATATTCATATCAGAAGCCAGTCTGATATCAGCCAAAAAAGCCTATTGGGCAGCATCTAAACTGATATCAGCGTACTGATAGAAACACTCCCCTTCTGTCCAAGTCTGCAGTTCATGTAATGGTTGATAACAAATGGGTCATTTGTTCTTAAATATGTTGCTAATTGTGTTTCTATGTTAGAGTGCTATGAATTAAGAATGTATGATTTGTGCTGATATATTGCATCAGTCAGTGCTCAAAACCGAAAGATCAGAAATCAAAATTTTAATAACATTGATGATAATAATAACAATAAGAAGAATGTTATTTATAAGGCACTTTACATAAGTACCACAAAGTGCTACAAACTGCAGTGAAAACTTAATATGTGTTATAAAACCTTGAAAAGCTGTCACCATAAAGTTTGCTTGCAAAAGAAGAATTGATTTTCACCTGGCTGGAAGATCAGGTGTGTGGGTGCAGACACATTCATACGTTTCTTTGATACATGCAGACAGTTTGAAGATCGGGTCTTATGCTATATAATTAACTCAATTAAAATAGCTGTGGGGATGCAATTATTTTACAGGTCCAGGAAAACTGGTCAGAGCTGATTGGAAGATGGATGGATCTAAATACTGAGCAATCCTGTAAATAAAAAGCCTGTTAGTGGATTCAAAGTCTTGAAAATGGGGCACAGTTTCACCCTTGATGTGTGACAGATGTTCAAGAGGTAGGCGTTCATCCTGTAACCAGTAGGTCTCCCCCACTCCTCCAGTTTCTGTCTGTGGGGAAGGCACTTCACCCACCTTCCCTCCTTGCCTTGCTTATATCAGTCTGCCCCAGGGCAGCTGTGGCTACAATGTAGCTTTCCACTATTAGTGTGGGAATAACTGAATGTAATTTAAAATGCTTTGGGGTCCTCTGACCTAATAAAATGCTATATAGCACACAACCAAAGCTTAGATCAGATCACATCTATAAGCTAAATTCTTGCTGAAGTGTCTTGGTGAAAGTGCAGGCAGGAATCTAAAACCTGACGGAGCTAAGGCATGCTTATAAGACGAATTAAGAAAAAAATTATGCTGTGGATGTGCAAAGCTAGTGGGTGGTTCTACAAGGGCTTACTAGTCCTCAACGGATCTGTCTCTGCTTTGACTACTCGTTTAACCTTTGCTTCAAGTCTTCTTTCTTTCTTTCTCCGCATATTTCCTATCTGAACACTACAAATAAAGCCCACTAGTGCCACAAAAACTTTTAAAGAATGACACAAAGGTAAATTTACAAAGTATTATCTAGGGCTGAACGATTTTGCCAAAAATCTTAATTTTGATTTTTTTTTTCAATCAATATTGCAAATGCAATTTTGCAATATTGCAAATGCGAATTGTGACCTTTGCGTAAAAAGGTTCTTACTTCTATTATCATACATGGATCTGGGTGCTAGCTGCATGGTCTTCCCTGCAGTGTTGCGGCATACTAAGTTTAAATGTATTACTGCCACCTAAAAGGTTGGAGGGAGAAATTTACTGTCTTACTCCTTTTAAATGTATTGTGACTAGATTTGGGTGCATCTGCACTGCTACTGTAAAATAGAATTTGGCAAAA